TATGAGAGATCCCGTTATACCAGGTGCGTACTAAACTGTACCCCCCAAGGCTGGGCCGGGCGAGCTGGATCCGCCCCAGCTCGACCACACCAGACACTCAGAGTGACCAGACTCTTCAAAACAAGGCTTTTCCTCAGATATTGGGTGCCTCTGTCGTATAACAGGATAGACTGGGGACCAAGGCCTGTTCCTCGTGAATGGGTCCCTACCATGAACCGAAGAACGGATGGATACGATCAACACGGCCTTCTGGTCTCCTCCGAAACAACCCTGTCTGTGGTTCCGAGTATTCTCCCCATTAGGGTCCAGTCCTAACCGTGACTGGCGTGAACCATGACTGACTTTGGACATGCGTGAAGAATCTCCTTTTGCGCTACGACAAAGGGAGTTATTATGTATCTCCGACCAAGGATATGAAGAGGGACGCAGGAGCGGGTCGGTTTAGTAACCGAAGAATGGTTTACGAACACGATAGCAGCACGATAAACTACCAAGTAACAGGATAGACTCGTTCCCGCTCTGTTGCTTAAGGCCAGTCTAGCAAACCTTGACTACAGGCGGCGTTGCCATGAGCTAATGCACAGTTCGGGCTGACGCATACGACCTACTACTTGTGGCCCCCCGAGGTCCCAGAGCGCCCGACAGGGTGGATCGAGCGCGGTTCAGCCTTTCCTTCCTGTGCCGCTGCCCGTGGCTGCGATGACGTCCAGCGGCTGAGGCGCAAGTCTATGGAAAATCAAATCACTCGATTCCTTTCTCCTTCCATACAACGTGGATGCGTTGTGCCCCCATGGTTGATGCTCACTCGAATCACCAAAGAATGGGCCAAGAAAGACGACCATGACAGGTCAAGACGGCGATGGAGACATTCATGAAAATCCACCGAAGAGTCACATGGACACGGAGAAATACAACAATTACTCCTACCATTCCATGGTACCTCTACCTGGTTGGAGCCGCCGAGCCAAATTATCGGTATAGGCGAAACAGGACTCCCAAGGGCGCGGAAATGGATCTTCGCCAGCTCCCGCTGTCAGTCAGCCGAAGTAGCAGCAACTGGATCAGCGCCCCGGGGACAGATTTTCAATACCCTCATCACATCCGTCGGAGTGACTCCTGTCCCGCCCGGCCGCCAATATGCATCCGATAATTCGGTGCCAAGGTGGCTTGTTCAGCTGGATCCTGAGAGTCCGCTGGCCATGATGGCAGACTTGATTCCCCTCCAACCGCAGCTGAGTGGGGTTGGATGGCCCTCAGACCCGGTCCACGATCAGCAGCACCCTCGTTGGGCTCCGTTCCCTCGGGACTCTCTGGTGGATTGGTGTTATTCACCTTTTGTTGAAACCTCTTCCATTCTCCCTCTTCACCGCTTGTCTTGCGGGGCTATGGGGAGTACTTGGAATAGAATTAATACGGTTTGGGCTAACTCGTTTCTTTATGCAGATGTGCAACAGGGATACTTATCCAACTTATGTCCCTCCTCTCAAATTGACATGATCACCCATAGATCATACTTCTAATGAGTCCTTAGGACTACATAGTTATCCTTAGGATACCATGCGAAAAAAAGGAGACAGAATTGCTGAAACTAACATCAAGGAGGGGCTGAGCGGAAAATGATTCCATACGAATTTCTCGCTGTCCGTCGTAAAAGTGTGGATTGTGTGGATTGTGGATACTTCTGCCTTCCTTCTGGGGTGGGCGGGTGTCCACCTCTACCCAGTCCCTCGGGAATTTGCAAAACTCACGTTGCACCGTCCGCGCGAGCTGAGCAATGATCGTTCTCGCCTACGTCCATGCGTGGCCTCTAGAGGATCAATGCACGACCAGTTCTGGGCAATCATCCGGAAATCCCGAACAACTAATGAAACAACGTCTGGGGACCATCTCGGCGGAGCGACGAAGATCTCTGCCATGAATAACCGCTTTGTGGAAAAGACGGCCAAGTATTACATCTAACGTTGCAGCCATTGAAGTGACCTCGGCACGGTGACAGTAGATAGTTTTCAGTCTCTATGGAGAAGCCTGAATGTGACCCTAGTTTTGGGGCTTTAAGTCCAGACTGCTTCAAAGTTGTTACAAAATTCAGTGCCACATTCAACGTAAAAATGGCCCATAGCCCCCATGACTTGGCGAATCGTCGCCCTATGGCCTGGTGGTGCGCTTTTCAAATGATACTTAGCTGGATGCCTTGCAGTTGTCAGCCAGGTTCATGCACCATGGACCCAAAGAGGCACCGCGCCACGTTCCCGAAGAACGAGCATCCAACGTACCGGGTCTGGCGGCGCACGACAGGGGGGGGGGAAAGCAATCTGACTATTTAGTCCCGTGATGTGCTGTATACATCGGACCTGTCCATGCATGAAATGCAACTAAGCATGTACTGTTAGTCTGTATAGTACCCGAGGGGTTGAACGGCCGTTGACAAGGGGAACCCAGAGCCATGGTTCGATTCTCGGGAAGACAGGCCTGTTTAATCGGGGAGCGACGAGGCGGCCGGGCCCGTTAGTGTCCTCGGCGCACGGGTCTTTGGGACTATAACAAAATGCGGATTAGCATGGGAGCAACTACTTACTACTATCAGTAAGTGAGTCTTTTTTGGCTGAGAGAGCCTATGACTGGTCCCAAGTAGTCATAAATACAGGGAAATAATATCCTAGGGTAGCCACAAACAAGACAAATGGCTTTTTGACTAGAGCCACGGCTACAGATGGTTGGAGTCTCGTGATTCGTTGACGCGAAGAAAAACTTGAAATAACTGGGTCTCTATCCTAGCCTTCAGCCGCTAATCTGCAATGAAACCTAGGCGTATGTTCGCTCGTAGTAGACTACAGATTTGCATGATTTCCTCAACCCGAAGTCTTGGGAATTGAGAAGGAGCAGGAACCAGAGCGCACCTAACGTGATGATCGGCACTCAATAGTTAACACACCGACTCAGAGCCAGATACTCTCCCACTTACGCCATTGTTTAGGTTGTACTAGTTCTGTCTCCCACTAAACTACCATCTCGTCGTTTGCCTTGACCTTTACGTTGCCTTTGCCATCATCTACTGACTAAACTATGGCCCTTCAAGCCCTTTGAGCTTTAAAGTCATTGCATCAGCGCCACTGGCGGGGAATTAGTATGAGGAAAGAAGAAAATATTGTCACGAGATAATCAGAAAAACAGGAATGAATGGCAAAATCTACTACCAGTTAGGAAAAAAAATAATGAAAAGGTCATTGTGTTTAGTGTACCACTCTGTCGGGTCACCCGCCCCAAGCCCACACGTCCACTCTGGACGGATGCCCCTCCTCATTATTAATTGGGATAATAATTCGTTGTTGGTAGGATCGCCAACGATCGCAGGCGGTCTGGTAGTCGAATCGACTTGTTCATCATGAGTTGAAGCCGTCGTGGTCCCTTTCTCGTCATGGACCACTCTTGGTACATACAACGAGTTATTCCGACGGTGCCGTTTCTCTGCCTGCTCGTGGTTAGTTCCCAGAGTATGAATATAGGATCTACGCTGCGTGCTACACATACTATCAAGTTCAGAAATAGTGAATATCGATGTGAAGTCTCTATAGAAAAAGAAATTATCCCGGCGGTCCGTGGGAGGCTGTTGTGTTACTTCGGTTGGGGCAAGACATGCCTTCGTGTGGCTAGGATAAAGGATACCGGTCAATGGATGTGTACATCACGAATGGTCGAGCTTTGAGCTGAACGCAAGCGGAATAATATTTTCGTCTTAATAGAAGACTTCTGAATTAGCTGTTTGAGTAGTCCCTCTAGCTTGACCCGCTCATGATGCAATAACGTTGCTGTTTAGACTCCTAATACAGCTCTAATCCAACTCTAACCCAAGAGTTTTCCAGTGAGGATGTGGTTTTCTGCATCCCAATTGTAGTTTCAGAAGGCTATCTAATCTAAAACCTTACATTGCCCTCTAGTTTTCTCATCTATGAAATGGGTCAATTCGAGTCAAGATATCTATCGTCCTACCAATGCACTGATCTGAAAGTTCTATTCAGAATTTATCAAGGTATGTACGCATGCGAGGACCACTTTGTTGATTGCTGGCGGCCATGTCCCGCAATCAATATGGAAAGCCTCTACGGCGGACTATAGGAGGGAGAAGGCCATAACCCTTTGTTCGTAGTTCAAGAATCGGCAGAATCTCATTTTCATGCATCCTTTCCCCTATATAATCTGCGCATATCCTAAGTACCCTTTGTAAAGTGCGATTTCCCGCACCGAAACAATCGAGGTCGATTTAGATGAAATGACTAATGAGTTTACTAGAGCTAAAATGTAGATATAATCCCTAATTTAACACTAAATCCTCTTATAGTCTAACTTCTTTACTTAATCCTATTAATTATTACGATCGTAACTAAGATAGAGGGGTAGTTTCTTAGATAATTTCCTAGATAATTTCCTAGACGGTTTCCTAGACGGTTTCCTAGACGGTTTCCTAGACGGTTTCCTAGACGGTTTCCTAGACGGTTTCCTAGACGATTCCTCAGTTGATCTCTACGTCAATCTCCTAGTGATGTAGTAAGCATGAAATGTACTAAGGGCGGAAGAAAGCGGTGAATAGTCTTTAAAGAAATTCAGAGTGATGGCCTTCTCCCCTCTATAGTCCGCCGTAAAGCCCCTCGAAGTCTCTTAACAGGGACATGCACGGGCGGTAGCAGGCTGATCGCGGATTAAATCTCGAGGAACTCTTTTGGAGAGGTAGCTCTAAGAATTAGGATCGAGTCATCTTTAGTGATATGTAATAATACCAAGAGCATTGACGTCCTCCGCGGTCAGGCCGTAGAGAGCACTGAAATTTTGCCGTTCACTACTACCTTTTGTGAGGCGCGCGGTGACGAGCATTGCATCGAACCGTAGGTCGCCGGCGTGGACAACCTTGTTGAGACTTCGGATGGCCCCGGCCCGGCGTGGGGTGTCCTTGCCCACCGTATCTCGTACCCAAGTAGAATAGGTCCTTTGACGGACATTAAGATGGCTCAGGCGAAAGTCTTGAAGAAGGTCATCGGTCTCAGCTTGTTGAGCGGCCACTTTTGCGGTTTCAGCCCTAGCTTCTGCGATCTCTTGACGCGCAGTTGACGTATTTCCTGGAAGAGGCTGAAGCCGCCTATGTTGGCAGCTATATTCTGCTCAGGGTAGAGTCGGAGTGTCTTCGCCTCCTCGACCATTTTCTTGATCTAGGCTTAAGGGATGTTTTTTTTATCTTCAACGGAGCTATAGTAGAAAATTTCGTGGTGGTTCTGGGGTAGATATGGGTCAGTTAAAGCTTTAATAAAGGGAGACACGAAATAGACTTTACCTCTTTAGGTGGATGTATAGCCTAATCTCAGAAAAGACTGAAGAAAAAACTGTAGAAAAGACCGTAGAAAAGACCGTAGAAAAGACCGTAGAAAAGACTGTAGAAAAGACTATAGAAAAGACCGTAAAAGAGGGCGATATAGTAGGAGGAGTTGGAGCCTATCGTTTCTCATGGTTCAGAAATAGAGGTGGTTATATCGAACTTGAAAATATTGAAGAAGTCGGATAGATTACCATGACTGAATCGTAGCAGATATCCGAATAATTGTAGATCTTGATAGTCGCAAACATGGTAACTATTCATCGAGTGGGGGGTATAAAATAAGACGAGAAAAGAACACACTGCCAGAGCAGAGAAGCAACACCATAATCGCAATCCTTCGCGACAGTCCGCGGGGAGACAGATACGTACAGATTGTCATGTAAGAGGTACCAGCTTACCGAACATCCTCCCGTCCCGTCATAAACTTGACCGCGGCCGAAATAATCTCCAGCACAATCTCTATTTCTGCATCGCTGCGTGGCGCATAGATCAGGAGATATTCAGAGGGAATGTCGGGTATAGTACCCAAGCTGAGAAAGGTCATGGCGGATGTACCGGAAAACGCATGGCGCTGACCCCAACCTGCGTCGATAATTTTCTTGCCTTGGCAGTGCGTCAGTGGATGAGCAATATAGAACAGATGCTAGTAGAAAAAGCCTCTCGTGATATAAGAGCCCATAGCTTTATGACTTACAATCCGCCGGCGCCAGAACTACATGAAGCGAATAATCATTTTCACTGTGTATATGCGTAATTTCACCCTGCATTGTCGTCGCCAGATCCGTGATGGGGAGGTGATCGGCCAAAAACAGCGCATCCGAATGTTTTTCAAGATTGGACTGCTGGATTTTGACTAAATGGTGGTTGCGCAAACCGAAAGAGGTGAATTTTGAGTGGAATTTCTGCAAAAATAGCGGGCCAAGTCAATATTCATCATCATTCTATTGTCACGCGACACGGGCTCATTCAGACGAACCTCCATGATTTCTTCGTCGGGAATCTGCGTCAATTGTCGCTGTGGTGCGACATGCGGTCCAACCTCCGGTCTGCCATCCCCTTTCCTCGATTCCAACTGTTCCTTCGATAGAGTCAAATATCCCTCGTCACCCCTCCCATGTCCCTCGGCCCCATCCATCCGGCGCAGATATATCTCCGTGCTGAACATCTCGCTCCCAAACGGCTGAAACAGCGCGCGCACCGTCATCCACCCCAGCAAGTTATTGGGGACCCCGCCGGGTCCATAGCTCCTGAAAATACGGTAGTCACGATACGCGGCGGGGAGGATAATTGCGCTGCCTAGTACGGCCGCCGTCGCGAGGGCGAGATTTAGTCGCTCTTGTTGGGAGTGTGGGAGACGGATGTGACGCAGCGCGTTTGTGAGAGTCTCGAGCGACATTCTCGCGGAATTTGTCTGAGATGGGGGACTAGGGCCCTAGGGGGGTGGAGAGTTGGAAAGGGAAGTTTTGGGATTCGAGTACCGAGTCCCCTCCATGGGATGGGGAAGTTGAATAAAAAAAAAGGTTTCCGGGGCCGACGGGGCTGAGGTGAGAGAGTCCAAGCTGCTGTTCCCCTCCGAGGCGGAAGATACCCGCTAGGCTTCCTCTCCCGATTGGATCTTATACAATCCATTATACAATTTCCGAGGATTATCTGGAGACATTTTGAATCTCTTCTTGTCTTCTCTACCTGCTTATGTCTACGCAGACTGTGCAAAACTATCCATACTTGATACACAATTATTCGGGACAGCGCTCTGCCGGCTCATCCAGCTCGAAGCTCTCTATCTTATCGCTCTCGATGTCTCTCCGAGATCCACCGTTGGCCCCACCCGAACAGCATTTCGGTCCGATGGTGTGATGCTTGTGTGATGTGACGAGACCCTGGGAATTCCACGCGCAATCGGCGTCGCTCAAGAGACCATGAGCACTCCCTCCGTTTCGAGACTTCTTCAGGGGTCGGTATCTCGATCGGGAAAGAACCTATTTGGCCCCTCGAAACAGTGGTTCATGAAGCTACTCCAACTGTCTTGGCCTCAAAGACTATGCGGGTTTATGAAGAGGGAGGAATAAAATGAACATATACGTGTTCAGATTTTTGTGAGGAATGTATGATATATATAATATGTAAATATATAAAGGAAAATTTGCTACCTATGATTAGGGTAAGATATTTGCTAAGTATTAGGCATGTTTCAACACTTAGATGTTCGATTCATCTCTTTTCCGAAGAGCATAGTTTAATAGGCAATACTTACATTTCAACAGCCTACTGAATGACATGAAAGATGATTATTATCATCTAATCCAGCAAAAGATCCTGGTACTTTATATTTGATGTTTTCATTTTATTTTCAGGGATCGGCCCCATGGGGTTGGCTGTGATGTCTGCGATATCTGACATTTCTAAGACAATTGAGGCAATAGTCATTGTCATTCTTCAGTCTTCTTTGCTGATGGAGCTGAGTGAGTGTGCTAACTTCAACAATACTACGCTCTCGGTCGCGGCAAAGTAATTAAGACTAAGTTCATGTTAGCATATTGCGTTCCATCTACGGCTGTAGGAAAAACCACCAACCTGTCCATTAGAATTCGCAAATGGCGGTTGAAATGATCCTCATACCGCTTGAGAGTCTCTTCAAGTTTCACAATGCGGGATGGATCATAGGGGCGAGCATCGGGACCTCCAGCTTTGTCCCCTGCCAAGTCCGGATCTGCTGAGCTCAGAGCCCGCGAGAGCGATGAGGCGGTCCATTGGCCAAACATCGTGCAGCACGTCATGAGCTTGGAATGGATCTGGCAAGGCGTGGCAGTCAGCATTGCTCTTGTTCAATTCCTGGAGCCGGTCTTCCATACCTTCAACAACTTAGCCTGGGTCAGCATGCATTCCTTCAGGCAAGTGTCCAAAAAGTCCACATGATCCTGCATCAGCTCATCGACAGTCCGGTTGACTTGTTTTGACCCATTCACGGTCACCTCGGACCCATTGGCGTCGGCGCCATTGACGCGGTCCATCAATGCCACCCAGTTGGGCTCAATAACCTCTGCAGTACAGAAATACAACAGATGTTGAACAAATATGAGCATCTTGGCCCGCAAATTCCATGCACGTCGCTTCCACAGTTCAAGTCTGCGGTCTGACGGCTTGTGTCGCCAACTGGCCACCTTGTTCTGATCTGCCCAGGACGTGACCAGTAATGTTTCCACGTGTCGCAAGGACAGCAGATGGCGAAATATCAATTGGTATCGCAGCACTGTCTTACGACTGATGACGAGTGATAGTGGGAATGGCACCGAATAATCCAGCTCCAGTCCACTGAACCCAGTAATGTTGTTGTCATCGTCGGTACTCTGCGCAGAAGTCGCCTGCTGCTTTTCAAATGCGGATTCCGGATGGTCTTGGTCAATACCCGAGACACTGACCACTTGCATCAACCATTTCGTGAGGCCAACCTTGTTCATCCGAACCTTGACATCCTCCTTGAATGGATCCTGTGCAGCAATACTGCCGGGCTGACGCAGTACAAGATCCAACAGTGACTGAAGCTTGCCCTCATTTACGACGTTCACATTCTTGCGCAACTCGGATGCACCCAGTTCCAAGAAGTAGGAGAAGAAGTCGGATCGGTCGAGGAAGAAGTAGTGCTTCAGCGAGCGGAATCGGGTTGTAAGAGAGTTTTTCGTGAGGAGTAAATTCAAAAGAGAGGCGTTGGCGTAGGTATAAGCAGCATTGACATTCTCCAGGAAACGTGGATCATCAAGGGTTTTGGGCACGTCTTTGACTGCTTTGCTGACATCGACACCACCGCATTCTCGTACCACGTTGAGGTATTTGCCGGCTAGAAGGACTCTGTCCTTGACCCCCTCAAGTTGTGGGGGAACCTCGTCGTCGCGAATGGTATAGCGCTTCTCCCAGTATTCATCTGTGTAGTCTTCCTCGAGCTTTTCCCGCTTGATCCATTTTTGCTCCTTGACAAGGAACTCTGAGTGGGGGTCTCTGATGCCACCGTGGTGTAACCATTCATTCAACATATGCATGTACGGTCGACTTGCGTCACGCAATAGGGTCTGAATGAGTGCCTTGGTCGTCGGGTCGCCAGAAAAGGTCGCGAGACGCTCCGTCAGGAGTCTCAAGACATTGCCTCCTTTGCAAACTTTCCTGCTGGAGCCCGGTACAAGATCCCCTCCTTCCTTAAGTTGCTCAAGAATATTGTCAACATCGTCAAAGTCGTCGATCGTTTCGTCCAGCTCATCTGAATCCAAAAGCCCGTTGCGTCGTAGGAGCTCCTGACCGATTGAATATAATTGCGTGAAACATTGGCTGGTTGGCATTGTATGGAGGTGAAGTTGATGCAGAGTAAAGGAAGGATTGTTCAGTTGCTGCCCTTCCAGCTGAGCGATAAGGATCAAGTAGTCCTTGAGGATCTTGCGAATGGAGGCGCAAAGTGCATGGCATACGGCTCCATACTCGGCACGACTCTGAACTTCCACAAACGCCTCCATGGCGCTGTAGTGCGTTGCCATCTTGAGCATAGACTGAGTGAGGTCGCGCAACGTCGGGTCTAAGCCTGCGGCCAGTTGGAATACTGGACCCGTCAAGCGGTCCTTTTCAACAGAGGGATCGTAAGTACTGTGGTAATGTATGTATTGGCCCTCGAACCCCATAAAAACGAACAACAGGTCTTCCAAAATGGCAGTTTCTTGAGCGTCGGGTGAAAGCTCTCGAAGTGGTCGGGGAGAAAGCGACCGCGGAGCGGTCGACGCCAACGGAGGAACGGATACACGACAGGCAAGAGGAGCAGTCGAATGAGGAATCAGAGATGCATGGGGATCCCATGGTGCTGTAGACCAGATTAGAAAGTTAGCAAGGCAGGGTCAAAACATGGAATAGAATGCGCCATCAATGCGCGTTTTGGCATTGATCACGAACCAGCAGGCGTATCCTGTTCTCTCCTATTCCCAACTGGACTCATCGCCTCCGCCGTCCTTGTCTTCTTGGTCCTTAACTTGTCCCATTCTCCGCGATTAGAAGCGCTCGGCTCCTTAATAGGGTGCCTCCGCACCGCCTTTTCCTTTGTTGTGATCACACTCCGTTCCGTACGTTTTTCGGTCATGGTTTTCTGATCTCGGGGCAATCTCTGCTTCTGACTCGACGTGCTCGTGCGTAAGGAATCCATGTTGTCTGGCTGCTGCGGCAATGCGGCGCCGCGACTGGGCCTATCGGCATCGACGCGATTGGAGGCGACGCGGGGTCGCGGAGCGCTCATATAGCTAGCGCGACGGTCATTCACGGACATAATCCCTGGTATAGCCGGGCAATGTCATGTAGCGCAGACGACAGTGTCTGATATTGAGAAGTCGTGTTTCATAGGGAAAAGAACATTTACCCGAACGAGGCGCAATCGGAGTGCATCTAAACAAGCCGTCAGAAACTCCACCCGTGCCTTTGGGCAGCATGGCAAGTGGCTGCCTCACCGCCTGAGGCCACCACGGGCCAGGCACTCACGCAACTTGCGTAACTGCGAGAGCTTCCCGCCTGGAGAGCTCCCATCCTCATCCTCCTGTCCCCGGTTCTATCCAGCTCCTCCACCGCATCGCCCGAGTCCTAGACTTTCTTTTCAAGAACATCCTTTTTGCCTTCTGAATCTCCACGTTCCTGCCTTATTTCGGACCGCCCAACATGTTCATTGCTCGATCGGAATATGGTAAGCTCCGTCACGTCTCACTACACGGCGGCATTGCTAACAACTGCGGATAGACCGTGGAATCAAGTACGCATCCTCGTCTCAAAAAATGTATTAGGCCCGTTGTCAAGCGCTCTCGCTCACGATCATACCCCGATAGCACCTTCTCCCCGGAAGGTCGTCTGTTCCAGGTCGAATACTCTCTCGAAGCTATCAAGCTAGGTTCCACAGCGATCGGTGTACGTCTTGCCCTCTCCACTACCCCCGAACAATCTATCGCTATGCTCAGATGTGGGATTGTACTCCAAATCGGATTTCGCTACCTCCGCTCAACACCGACCAGACATCAAAGAGCCCGGTCATCTAACGCTGGATTTTAGGTTGCTACATCGGAGGGTGTCATCCTCGGTGTCGAGAAGCGCGTCACATCTACCCTGCTGGAAGCATCGTCTGTCGAGAAGATTGTTGAGATTGATCAGCATATCGGTTGTGCCATGTCCGGCCTGCAAGCCGATGCCCGCAACCTGGTCGAGCACGCCCGTGTCGAATGCCAGAACCATGCTTTCCACTACGCCGAGCCCCTGCGCGTTGAGAGTACCACACAGGCTATTTGTGATTTGGCTCTCCGATTCGGAGAGAGCGGTGATGACGAGGAGAGTGTTATGAGCAGACCGTTTGGTGTTGCATTGCTAATTGCCGGTTATGATGAGGATGGGCCTCAGCTGTACGTGACCTGTCCTCCAGGAGTTGCGTGATATGAGCCAATCTAACGTTTACCTCCCAATCTAGATATCATGCCGAGCCCTCAGGTACTTTCTACCGTTACGATGCCAAGGCGATTGGTTCCGGAAGTGAAGGTGCACAGGCCGAGCTGCAGAACGAATACCACCGCTCCTTGACGCTGGCCGAAGCGGAGACGCTCGTTCTGAAGACACTGAAACAGGTTATGGAGGAGAAGTTGGATGCGAAGAACGTGCAGCTGGCTAGTGTGACGAAGGAGAAGGGCTTCCGCATCTACAATGATGAGGAAATGGGCCGTGCCGTGGCACAGCTGGGCGGGAACCAATGAAAGACTGGCTGATATGGCGGTAGACGATACAACCTTTCAAGGATAGGGAATCTTAATCTTTTCATCAAAAGCAAGGTACCCTGAAATATAAACCTCATGATCTTGACCATCTTCTTGTCTATGGGCATACGCGTTGTATCGTTTTATGCCTGGCATACGGTACCATGTAACCGGTTATAGGCCGAGACATTTAGGGCTCATGCCCGTTGCATGAATTCTTGCCTGAGATGGTTGTAGTGGAAATCCATTCATAGGGCGTTAAATGTATCTGTCAATTTCTTCGATAGGGTTTGGAATATGGTTAGACCCACCGACTATACGCTCTCCTTCCAGAGCATGTCAGAAATGATCACCGCCTCGACCATGCAGCTTCGATAACTCTTTCTTATGCCTGGCTGAACAGCAAATACACATCTCATGTTTGCGTTGCAGCTCGTCTTCCGGATATTTAAACAACCGCAGACGTGTAATCATCCAAGGGGCGTAAAGTGTTCCAAAATCCGTTCCCTGGTATACGTTACTGGAGGGTAGGCGGATATGCCGGGTGGCAAGGATAATCAGACGAATAGAGGTATCCCTTTTGACCGAATTATGAACCCACTTGGCATATGTTTATCCGAGGAATAGTTGCTCTGAACCTAAACGTGGTCCGGTTAAATCGGCTTCATGGTCTAGTGTGCGGGGTAAACAATGGGATCGTCACAATTGTTTATTGGCGCGTCGAAAACCTGGGGCAATAGCGGAGCTGCCTCTGGAGATGGGAGAATAAGCCATCGACTGCTGAGACCAAATTCTCGCCGCTACTCTTACCTTCACTCGATCATTGTTTGTAAAGACACGAAACCCTAGCTTACTTCGCTCAATGGACATTCGTGCGACGAGAAAACTCAATGGACAACCATCCCGGGCACGGATCGCATGCCTTCACTGCCGGTCACGCAAAGTGAGATGTACCCTTGCGGTCAAAGGACCTCCCTGTACGAATTGTCATTTGGACGGATTGGAATGTGTTACTCGCCCTAAATTGCGCAAGAAACCGCAGGCCTTGACGTATACTTCACGGACTAGGGAGGGCATTCCATCCACACCAGTACAAGAGATTGAAACCCAACGCTCTGAAGTTTACGAAGTCACAGAGGATCAAGATGAGGCCCCGAGAATCTGTGATCTGAATGGTATGAACATCTTCAGACACCAAAGAAAAACAGCTTCTGGAAATCATGATGGGCTTATTGAAGCCGCTCTCAGCGTGGACTTATGTATGGCCCCCAGAACTTCCTGCTTCACTCGCAGGTTGGGACTATGCGCAAGTGGATAGCTCTGAGCCGATATCTAACATTTCAGATTTAGACTATGATTGCTCTGTTACCAATCGCGATGTCTCTTTCTCCTACTATCCCTATCTAAGAGCGCCCAATCTCCAGCGCCTACAACCAGCCGATCGGTCGTTTCTAGAATCTCAGAAAAGCTTCCACGTGCCTTCCGAGCCAATACTCGACGCCGTGATGTCACGCTACTTCCTATACGTCCATCCATGTTTGCCCGTCATAAATGAGGCGGAGTTCTGGCGGATGCTCAATCAAGAAGCGCCGGGAAAGGTCTCTTTCTCTCTTCTTGTATTTCAAGCAATGATGTTCGCCGCTTGCAGTGTACGTCCTCATATCCCAGTCTTTAAATGGCTTCGTGATCATTAGTCTATTTGAGACTGAGGCTTTATCATCAGTATATCTCATTGGACGATGCGAAGAAATGGGGTGCCGGGTCGATTTTGGAAATGCGCAATTCATTTTATCGGCGAGCAAAGGTATGATTGGGTTGAAATCAGACGATATGCGGCTCGTGACTGCTGAACGATAGGCTAATTTGAGCGCAAGCTTCTTTATGATTTTGGTGTTGAGGATGATCATCTGTGCATCGCTCAAGCCCTAACACTACTGACGTACCAAAGCTCGGCAACTGACCACCTGAGTAACAGCACTTGGCTTGGACTTGCTATTCAGCAAGCTCACCTGGTAAACGCACATGTCTACCATCGCTGTCCTGCCGGAGCTAGATATAAGAGATCTGATCTTAAGCGTTTATGGTGGTGTCTTATCATCCGTGATAGGATCATCGCTCTAGGCACGCGACGGCCGCTCCAGATTCCCCCAGCACACTTTGACGTCATATCCAGAGATCCATTGCTAACGGAGGATCTATCTGATGAGATCAAAACATCCCGCGTCTATGACCCCGAGACGAAAGAAAGGCTTTGCAAGATCATGACTAGCTTATGTCGACTTGCTGCCTCAATGACAAGTCTCATAATGACTCTTTACCCACTGGACCCATTCCCCGATTGCCAGGGAAGCCAGTCTGCTGAAATAGCTTCAATCGATGATATTCAGTCAGGAATTCAATACTGGGCAGCTACTCACATGCTACGGCCGTCCTCCGAGGATTCTGACTGTCATTCATCCGTTGCTTTCTTCAAGCAGCTGACAGCTTTGTACTTTGAGTAAGGCCTGGCCCTTTCTTTTGCGGTGTCTCCTTTAACAATTTACTCACACGATCATGCAATAGATCCGCTCGCTTGGCACTTTATCAGTACATTTCCTTCCGAATACATCGAAACCAGCGACCAGATGATTGGCCAGACCTAATGGATGCAGTCACAGCCATCCACGAAGTGGTGAAACGCTTTGTGGTCGACGGCACGGCTAGTCATCTACCAATCAGTGCTGTTGCGTATACAGCCCTCCCACAGATGGTGCTGAACCTGAACCTTAGGCTTTCCAGTGATACGACAACTCGTCGGCACCAAGAGAATGTCTTGAGTATCTACATGGAATTGAATCGACAATATGTCCTGCGTTACGACGTTTCACACGTCGGCACCTGGGTAAACAGAATTGTCCGGCTCTTCGAATTATCTCTATCGCCCATCAAGCCACAACTGGCAGACCTCACTCGACGACAGAGGTTGTTCCCCGGGAAGGACTGCTTGTATCTGCTTGAACTTGAGCCCGAACTGTATTTCAAGATTTCTGGAATGATGGACGAATCAATGGCGACTGGTCAGCTAGCATTTGAGTATTCGGGATCACAATTGGGGTTTCCCTCTACGGACCTATCTTCGTCACTTTTGCACAAAGAATATTCGGATTCTCATGCGGAAACTTCTCCGCAACATTATCAGTTCGGTCAGATCTTGCCACTTGAGGAAGACGCTATACAGGAGGCAGGCGACGAATCATATACGGTGGATCTCACTTCGATTGAGCTTCTTTCGAGGGGACTGGGGCTATTTGGAGAGTAGTAGCAAGCTAAGATTTCATGCGAGATATGCATTTAAGTGTACAATAATCAAAGTTTATTTGATCAGCAAAGGTCTATCTTCACCTAATCATTTGCTATTTCTGCCCTGATATCTCGTAAATTTAGTGTGCAACAATCGAACAAGAACTGCCAATATACTGCCAAGCTATGTGATGAATGAATTTGTTACCTAAAAGTCATAGTGTGAGCAAAATCCCAATATGGTGGCTTGAGAAGGAGAATGGAAGAGACCTCACCAAGGTACATCTAGCTCACCAACTTGAATCCTCAAAGCCCATTCTATACGTGCCACAGCAAGATATTTAGTCGGACCAAGCTCCAAGCCGAGCCGTTGTGATGATGACACCATAATCCCATCCAGAATATCGTACGCTCTCTCAAGCTGCTGGGCAAAGAGAGGGCGGATCAATAAATCTACCGCAGTCCGCTCTTGTCCAAGGAGCATGCCGTGGAGAACATCTTCGACCTGCCAGATCCGGTTTTGAAGAATGTCCTGACGAACCAGAGTCTTGTTCCCTGGAATCTCGGCTGCCTTTCTGGATACGGTCTCTTGCAGTTCCATTAGGTCTTCTAGGAGAAACCCTAGTTTGTTGGTAAACACTTCTCGTTCCTCCACGTCTCGGAGGATCTGGGCGAGTAATTGGCAGCCCGCCATGACTTTGGCTGAGGCTTGCCAGAAAAGTTCAATCTCGATAATAGCCATTTTTGCAATTTTGGGTAATTTTCCCCCGTATGAATTGTTAGTATAGTGGGGATGGCTCGGGTTTGAAGTCGTAATGGTGTTTTTGTTGAAGAAAGGCTGGTGAGTCGGTGTTTTTATAGTGGATGATTGGAAGGGAAGTTCAGTCTTCTGGAAGCTTTGAGAATCTGATATGCTTCCTAAATGAAAGTGCTCTGTCACAATATCTTTGTTTAGATCTCGTTGTTTTCGAGAAAGTGTTGAGATCCCGTGCTGCCGTGAGCAGATGCTTTGTTCCGGCTTCACAGTTGCAAAGGGAAATATAGGAGCAAACCCAATATCTGTGTTGAGACTTCCAAACCGAAGTGGTAGACTCTTATCGAATTGTCGGGGTGTGGTGTCTGTTAAGAGAATAGAGATATTCTTCTATGATCTGGTTTTCTGAGCTAGTGGTCTGGTCTAGGGGCTCCAGGAGAAGATGTTAACGGAGATTAGTCTTGGTATCCAAGATAGTACTGGATTTGGCATCATTAGGAGCTACTAATCTGTTTTGGGCCTTTCACTGAATATGGCCCGCGCTCAATTTGGCAAGACAAGGTGTTCCCGAGGAATCTGATGTTGATATGCTGTCATTGTATTTTGCTTACTCTAATCATATGTAGACACAGTTCACAAGTGCATATAGTACATCGCCGCTGCAACGATAAGACTACCGAATCTTATACACGCAAGGCTTCAGCACCTGAGCTTCCTGCTCATGAGTCATCCCACTCTCAGCCGCCGGCTTGCGGTCTACGAACCGCTTCTTTCCACCAGGAGCGGGTGCACTCAATCCAGTAGCATGCTTGCCCTTGATCGGGGCACCACTCTGTTTCACAAACTCCATCTTGACAAACATCTTATTGGACTTGTCCACCGACTCCGGGCGCAACACGAACCCACGAGTCCGGAAGACCTCGACAAATGCCGAGATATCGGTCTCGTCATCATCAACCGGAGGGCGGGCATCTTCAGCAAAAATATCCGCCTCGTCGATATCAGAATCATCGCCATTCTTGCTCTTCTTCTGCTTCTTCTGCTGAGTTTTGCTGAGCGGTTTCTGCGCCCCGATCATGGACTTCTTGCGGTTGACTTTGCCGAAGCGACTCTTCACTTCACTGACCCAGCACTCGCCCTTGCCGTCGCCACGGAGCACGCGCCATGCCTCCTCAACGAAGGAGACCCAATTGGTGCCCATAAGACTGAGACAGAAAATAGCCACATCCATGGAGCCGTCCTCCACCGGAAGTTTAGAGATGTCGGCCTTGGTGATGAGAGGGTCGGGAGACTGAAGGTCGTAGCTGTTCAGCTTCAGGTTGAGTTTCTTGGCAGATGGCTTCAGGTTGCGAGCAAGTGCGGCGTCACCACAACCCAGATCGGCAATGCTGCAGACTCCATTGGGTCTACGGGGCAGAGGCAGAGCCTTGTTGGGGAGAGGCTTGCCTCTTTTAGGCACAGGCACGGCTGCGCGACGACGAACGGCCTGGATATAGCCATCGACGGGGTTAGAGGGCCATGATTCCTTGACCTGACGAGAGAAGCCAGCGTGGTACTCGTCGAACAACTCGGGATTCGCGTTGAACAGTTCGACGGCTTTGGAGGAGTCGGTGGTGTACAGGGTTTCGTTCAGATGGCGGAATCGAGAGGAAATCAGCTTTTGGCGCATAGCCTGCTGGAGAGGTGTGAGGGTTGCGTTCGTCGTGGGCGGGACCGCGAGAGCGCTCGCAGGAGAGCCGGTCGATTGAGCAGACGCGGCACCGTCTGCCTTGTCCTCTTGGGTATCGTTGTCCTTGTTCTTCTTGTTCTTCCTCTGCTTCTTCTTCTTGGCCTGGCCCTCCTCTTGAACGGGATCAGCGGCGACCGTCTTCACCTCGTCATTGTCTGTCTTGGGGGAAGCAGCGGCCGCAGCAGCCGCAGCCGCAGCGGATGCCTGCTTTTCCTGCTTCTTCTTCTTCCAGGGCTTTTCGGACTCGCCCTCGATATGCTTGCGATACATCTCATTGACATTGCCCGAGGTGACATTGTCACGCTTGCGCTTCTTGTCCTTGTTCTTGCCATTGGGCGTTGCGCCATCGTTGGTCGCCTGTGACTCGTTTTGGGCTTGCGCTGGTTGAGACTGCTGCTTGAGCGCAGTGCTCTCCAGCGACCATCCAGGAACGGCGAACATGATGGTTGGTCGGTGAAGCTTCAAGAGCTTCTTCTTTTTGATTTGCCTGTGGATCACCGGCTGCTTTGCCGGGAGAAATCGTCGGAAGCGTGGTGTTGTGCAGCGACAGTCCAAAGCTTCGTCCAAAAAAAAAGTTATCCGCAAAATTTCGCCCAATCTCCGCATTAATACCGCTGGTAATTTTTTGGTCTAATGGTTACGGGTACATACCGCTGTATTGCCTTATATTACAGGCACCAAAGCATATCCTGCAGAAAACAATCAGGCCACCCAAGCTTCGGCCCATTCTCGTTGATCCTGCAATTGCTTCAATGTGAATTAAACTCCGTGGCGTCACATCTGCACTTGGGATACATCACTACACTTCTGTCGTCTGATAGGGCCTGAGGTCGGCCCAGTTGGCTCTGGTCTGGGGGTGACTTGTCAGCTGTGACAGGGCACAAAACTTTGTTCCAAACTGGCGTCCGTGGCCAGCTTCGGAGGCTCGTATAAGCATTTGGACCCTGTCCACGCAAGCCGGTGGAGATTATCTTCGTAGCATCGTAGGGTTCTGCATGTCAGATCGTGTTGCTGGTCTGGATTGAGAGCGCCGATTTAGTCCGACGTGATGGCCCGGGAATGCCGGGATCCTCCAGAGCCCAGCGCTTAACCAGTTCACCGTACGGCAGGTATACAAACCAGAGAAATAGGAGAAAAAAGTCAAAAGTAGCCTGCAATAAAAGGGTCGCACAACGAGGATCTCGGGTGATCTGCGAGGCTCGGCAGCTTTGCTCAACTTGTGGAGTCGACCTGGCCATCGATTCCAGACCGGCTCCTTTTTCCTTTAGATTTACCCTAAATATCACGACCCCTCCCTGTACATCCCGTTTCTCCTTCCAACCCCACCATGTTCGTGGATATCCACACCTCCCGATTGCCTTGATCTGTTTTTCAACTAGGGTCATCATGAAGGAGGATCTCGATCTCGAGGATGGACCTGGGTCGGCGGCGATCGCCTCTATTGACCTCGGCCAGTCGATCGAGCCCACAGTCAAACACTCCGGGCCCCGCAGAGCCCCAAAGAGACGCGTCAAAACCGGTTGCTTGAGTAGGCAGTGAAGAGAATATCCCGAGAGTGCAAATAATTGACTGAGGTCCATAGCATGTCGAAAACGTCGAATCAAGTGTGGGGAAGAGAAGCCCATATGCAGCAACTGCGTCAAGTCCAAACGCATCTGCGAGGGCTATGCTCGACAAGTGGTCTTCAAAAACCCTCTGGGACTCTTCGGATCATACGGCCCACCACCAGGACAGGACCAGATGCAAAAGCAGCATATGAGAGTGCCACTATATAATGAGTTTGGCGCTCTGCCGGCCCAGCACGCAGCCGCCGCGGCACAGCATCCCATGTTAGCTCCGCGGCCTATTGACCCCGCGACAATGGGTTATCAATCTTTTCAAACATACGAAACAACTCAGCCAGTAGATGGCCAGGGATCAGCCAATGCACCTCAATTTTATTATCCGGCACTGCCAACACATATACCCCCTCAGACATGGTCTGCTCAGCCTCCACCGCAACATCCCCAAGAGCCATCGCCTTCCGGAACATCCGATTATGCACAAGTACAGTCTCAACAAAGCAGCTCTCCTTCAGAGCCTGTGCAACCTCATGGGTCAAGATCGCAACATCCGCAACCCATCATCTATTGGTCGAATGTTCAGCAGGGACAGGAGTTTGTACCAGCCTCTCTCCAGCTGCCTCCGGGAGGAGCCCAGGCTGAAGATGGCCCCGAGAACCCACTGTTTCCCCAGGTATGTCTTGCCGTCATATGATGCGTGTTGTTGAGTTTTATTTGCTGACAGTGTCTATCCCAAGCCTCTCCATTCAACAGAGGCGGTGTTTCAGTATCAGCAGCCTGGCCAGGTACCGCTTCAATTGGATCCACCCGGGCAATACGCACAGCAATATCAACAACAGATCGTGTATGTCGAGGAAGAGGATGAAGAATACTATGACGTGGAATCCGATGAAGAGATGGTGGATCAGACTCAGGTGGAAGGCTTCAACCAGTTGAGCCTGATAATGGCCTCAGCAAACCACGACGATCGTCAACTTCGTTCGTTCACGACCCATCTGAACGAGCCCAATATCCTTGCCTCCTATAATCCCAGTCTCGGATCCAGTCCTCTCAATAATCCCAAGACGGCTCGCATCTTCGCCCACTTCATCCACTCAACCGGGCCATCTTTGTCCATCTTTGAACGCCATCCCACCGACTCTTCTATTGTTCTGGGGGCTCCGGTTCCACCTTCCCAGCAAGGACTTTGGACATATACCTTGCCCTTAAAGGCCTTGGAGAACCCAGCCTTACTTCAGGCTATTCTCGCTATCAGCAGTCTGCACATTGCATACCTGCAGGGTGCACCCACCACCGTTTCGCTAAAACATTATCACTATGCACTGAAGCGCATCGGCCGAGCTGTTGGTCTACCACTACGCCGCAAACAGATTGGGACACTGGCAGCCACCGAACTCCTAGCATACTACGAAGTCATATCCGCGGATCATTCTAAATGGAACAGCCATGTTGCCGGTGCAGCCCAGCTAATCAAGGAAATTGACTTTGTTGGCACGACTCGAGATCTTCGTGCCTATCGGCGCAAACTCAACCAACAGCGTCGCCAGATGGGGTGGTCTAACTCGATGATGTATCATCATGGGTTTGGTCCCGACCCAAGTGAAGATGACCCCTTTGCTGAGAAAGAGGGAAGCATCGACCAGGATCTCATCGGATCGCTCTTAGGGCGAGCAGTCAACTTTGATGAGTTTGGGCGCGTGGAAGATGATCATGGGCATAGCGCAAGAAATTATTTCTCACGCAAGGATATCGAGAATTTCCGAATCCAGTGCGATCTCTACTGGTGGTTTACAAAACAGGACGTTTTCCACAGTTTGATCAGTGGAGATAAGTTATTGTAGGTTAAGTCCTCTTCCCGGCGTATCGTTCTTCGCCTCTTACTGATTTTACCCTCTAGTATGCCCTACTATATGCAGTGTCAAATCCCACCCCGAGCAGGCATCGGCCGGATCGATGCGATCTATGGATCAGCTGACCACCTTTGGCTGTTGCTCGCGCGGGTGACTGACTTTGGCTATCGTGACCGAAAACGTAAGTTGCGAGCCATCCGAGCCTCTGGAACGGAGTGGAAGCCTACTCCAGGGATGTTCAAGTTTATGGGCCGGTTCTCGCGCGGTGATCCTAGCAAGATGAAAGGGCCGCCAGGAGGTGGTCCTGGTGGACCCCCGCCTTCTGGTCCCCCTGGAGGACCACCTTCAGCGGGTGCGGCTCCTCCCAGAGGATCAGGCCCTCCGTCAAATTCATCGGGAGGATCCTCTGGTCAACGCGCTGGTCCGCCCGCGCCAAACGGCCCTCCCATGTATGGAATGATCCCACCACAGGGTCCAGCGCGCCTTCCATCTGGATTCGTTGACGACCGTCGCAACCAACGAGAGTCCCCCGAGGAGGACGAGGTTAGTGATGATTACACATACACGGAAGCAGAACACGAATGGGAGGAGATCTTGGTAGCCATGGACACCTTTGCCAAAGCCCTCGGGCGTGACTTTGAGCCACTTCCTGCAGATGTCACGCAGGCTATTCCAACGCCATTTGGACCAGCCCTCCAGTACCGCACCCACACGATCGCGGTCATCTGGGGTTTCTACTACGCTAGCCGCATTCTGCTTAAACGCCTCCATCCTTCTATGCCCCCCGCCATGATGATGGCGGCCGGTGTGGCCGCCCCCACGACCGCCGAATATGCACAGATCGTAGGTCGAATCACCGGTGGCATATATTATCCACAGCGGTACAACCTTGAAGCAGGTAGCCTCAGCCCAACGCTAGGCTCATCACTAACGGAGATGACGATGCCGATCTTCTTCGCCGCCGTGCAATACATGGACCCCACTCAGCGTGGCTGGACCATCGCCAAACTACGGGACGTCTCGCGGCTGACGGGCTGGAAGACCTCGGACGCCATCGCCAGTGGCTGTGAAAAGGCGTGGATTGTGGCTGCCAAGCATGGCCGCGGTCCGCCGTATGAGCGATCATTCGACTCCAGCCGCGAACGTGCCAATCATGTAAGTCACGACTCGACTTTGAGTCGAGTTTTGAATCGGGCTGACCCCGTTGTGAGTGGCATGCTGACCCATTTTCCACAGCCGATGGATATCCTCGAGCGCGACCGCAAGAGCCCCACGGAGTATAGTGATGACCGGCGGTTTGTGAAGATTGAGCCACCTGATCGAGCTTATCTGGCAATGGGCCTGTTGAGTTTGGAGGGGGATATGCAGAACTTGGAGTTGTAGGCTGTGCGGATGTGCTGGCATCGTAGGATTCGGCGGGAGAAACGTGTACCTACATTAGGCAGCGTCAATGGTTGATAAAGTCTGTCACTAGCAGTATCACTAATATTACTTGACTACAATACAAGTCCAGCTGGAGTCGTGCGACGGGCTTTGGGTTTGGGGAGCTTTCCGCTCCACTCCCCACTTGGTTCTCCTCCCAAACGTCATCAGCGGCGCTTCTGCCTGAACCCTCTTGTCTTCGACGGGCCTTTTGACACTAGTAAGGCTGAATCTCGATCGACCTTTTTTTTCCCTGCAACTCTCTTCTTCCCACTCACTTTCTCGTCCTAACACCTTTTCTACCTGAGCCTCTTCTCTCATCTATTCTTCCTTCTCACCCACCCGTGGTTCTTCTCCCCCCCCNCCTCCCATCGGCCCGCAAGTCAGCCGCCCTCGTCATTTCCACGGTTCACACATCCCACCCTCCGCAGCTCTTCTAAACAAACAATTTACACCCCTCGGTCCAACCATGTCGCGCTATGACGACTATCGCTCGTCCACCGCGACCCTCGAATCCCGCGACCGTTATGACCGTCGTTCCTCTCGAGGACCCCCAGTAGCTGACCGACCCCGCCAAGTCGAGGACGAGCGCTTCGAGTTTCGCCTGCGCGAGGAAGACCGATATGGCCCTCCTGCCCGCGCTCCAGGTCGATACTATGAGGACGAGCACCTGTCTCACACATCTGGCCCCCTGGTGGCGCATGACCGGCGCCGTCGCCGCGACGAGAGTCCCTCGTTCACTCGGCCCCGTCTACTTAGGCGGCAGTCGTCCCTAGACACCTTTGATCGCATCCCTCGTCGTAAGATGGAGTCTCTCGAAGCTCGCGATCGTCCCCGAGGTATGCCTCGTGTGCCTCACCCGCCACCACCGCCGCGGGCATCGCCGGGTCGTTACCGCGAGCGCGAAGTGTATGAGGATATTCGCATCGCGGAACCGGACTACTACGGCGATGAGGAGTATCGAGAGTTCCGGGAGCGCACGAGTACGGATCATCATCGACGTCGCTCTAGTAGTACAACGCACTCTCGTCGTGAAGAGAAGCCATACCCGCGCAAGGGAAAGACTCGCATCCCCCGTAAGTGGGTGCATGTTCACGCGATCCTGGACTTGGGGTACCCGTTTAAAGAGGAGGTATGTATCCATCTACGCTGACCCATGAGATATGCGATATGGAGCGACTCGAATTTCTAACGACTCGCTTTGTTTTAGGACGATGTCATTGTCATTCAGAAAGCACTATCCAAAGACCAGATTGACGAGGTCATCAGCCTCAG